ACATGAAGGCTCATGTAACTCTACATCATTCCACTAGTCAACAGAGAAATGCTTGCTTAAGCCACCCAAAGTGGATCAAAACTGAATACATCTTAACATAATTTGGTTGTCTTAAATTCAAGTTAGCAATGAAAGACCATTTTGCTTTCTAATGTCCAATTAGAAAATTAAACCACAATCAGTTAGAGAGAGCTGGAGCAGATTAAGGAGTTTGTTTTTTATCTAATAGGCCAGTATCACAAACTTAAATACTGGGAAGGGCTACTTTCTTATTTTTCAAATCCTAAAGTAACAATGTGTGTAAAGATGTGTGGAATAATGGAGAAAATGAGGAGTTACTTTCAGGGACATGTATGCACCACTTTGTGCTTCAAGAATTGTGAATGTGGTTGTATAAGTATTTAAAATGTAAATCGTAATTAAAAATTATCTTTTAGAACAAGAAAAAGGAATTCTTATATGATACTGAAAATTCAGAAACTGAAATTATGACTTTTGGGGAAAAGTTTATGGCACTTTGACTACTTTAGTCCTCCTACCATTACTAAGAATTAGATAGAAGAAATATAAACCCATAGATGAAATATGTTCATAAATATGTAGAAAATGGAGTCACATACACACAAAATATAATGCATGCTCATACACAATGCTTTATTTCATATACTAGAGACCTCATATCAGAATTTAATTCTGTAATCTTGTTAATTTAGCATCATGATCACAACTTGCCATGGTTACACAGGTGTGTAAAGAAATACCTTCAACACCTGTATAACCATTGAGAACTCATATAATGAAAAAGACATCCTCCAGAAAGCTAAAGGCCTACAGGTGGCAAAAGAACAGGATAGGAAGTAAACTAAGAGAAAACTGACAGCACAGCCTCTTTCTTTCAACTCATCTCCAGAATCCAGTGTTATCACTTGCAAGAGCTACATCAGATTAATAATTAAATGACCTGAGGACAACAAGAGTAGGAGAATAGAAACCCCTATCATCTACAAATTTGCTACAGCATCTTTATGTGGCAAAGATTAATAAGGAAAAGGACTTCAGGGTATATTGTCCTTCTCTCAGATGAATAAACATCATTCTGGTTTTTGTTCCATACCTAAGTTCTAGAACCTCTACACCCTGAAAGAATCAGGTATTGGGCCCTGTTGAACTAAGGTATCACAAATCAGCTAGGACAAAGACAAAATACTACAAAAGTACAATAAAGAGAAGTTGAGAAAGCAGAAATTCCAAACCCTCTAATGTATACAATCCATACTCTGATCAAGAGTAAGGTCATGAGCTTGCTGAAGGCCTAGATGTAAAAAAAAAAAAAAAAAAAAAAAAGGGGGTGGGGGGTTACTTCTTAAACCTTTACATTTATCCTATTGTCTATCATGTTTACGCTCATACCATGTAGCCATGACAAGAAAACATGGGAAATGTTTCTGTCTCCTTTATCACAGAAATAACACATCCTCCCTTGGAAAGCGTCACCCTCTTCCATCAAAGCACTATGGCTTTTCTACACCTCATCCAATCCACCACCTTCACTCCCTTGAGTTTTAAATTCATGCTGAAGTCAGTATATTTTTCATGTGCATTCTTGAGGTCAAAAATGTATACTTGGATGCTTGGTAAGGTTGAAAACATTATATTAAAATACTCTCCATAAACTATAATATGCATACTATGGACCTTGTTAAAATGAGATTCTAATTCAGCAGGTCTGGTTCCTAAGTGTTGCTCCTGATTCTCAGAAAAAAAAAAAAAACTTTTAAGTAGTAAGGTTCTAAAAGTCAATGGCACCTATAAACACAAACCTCCAAGGCACAATCCTAATGGACTACTGTTCTTTTTATCTTTATTCTTTTTACTCTAATTTAATACCATACCTGTTTTCTTATCCTCTCAACATTTCAATTTATCTTTAATGCAAATACTTGTGCCTCTTTCCTGTTTTTCAATCAGCATCTCTAAATTTCCTTTTTTTATTCTTCCATATACCAAAAGTAATGTCTAAAGTGTAAAAGTGGGACTGGAGATGTAGCTCAATGGTACAGAGCACTTGCCTAGCACAGGCAAGGCCATGGGTTCAATCCCCAGCACTGCAAAAATAAACAAATGAACAAATAAAATGTAAAAATAACTAATAAAAACGTTCTTACTATTTGTTCAAATCTATTTTGATAACCTTTAAATAGATTCTAATTCAGCACACACACATACTATAATTTAAGGGTTCTTACAAAGATGAAAATGAGGAATTAAAAAAAAAAAAAAAAAACTATAGTATATGAGTAGAAATTCAGCCTAATCTGTATCCATCATAAGGACCCTAAGCAAAGTAAGGCAAAAGAAATATTAGCTAGAAGTCATTACAACCAATTTTTATATAATGAAAATATGTTAAAGCTCTACTTATGGGTCCACTTACACATTCTAGTACAACAAACAGATATGTTACTCTTTAGACACTATCACCTTGTTAGCTTTTAACATATTTTTTAAATGAGGAAGAAAAAAATTCAGCATATTTAGAACTACATGTCTGAAATTATAAGAGAACATTCAAATGCTTCTAGTGTTAGATCCAGGTCATTTCATAAGATTTAATTTACCAAGCTATTCAGGAAATGGAGATTGGAAGGATTAAGGTTCAAGGCTAGCCCAAGCAAAAAGTCAGTGAGGCCCCCATCTCAACAAACAAACCAAGCATGGTGGTATCTATCTCTAATGCCAGCTAGTCTGTAGAAAGATAACAGTCCAAGGCCAGCCCTAAGAAAAAGCACAAGACCTTATTTGAAAAATAACAAAAGCAAAAAAGAGCTGGGGTTCTGGCTCAAGTGGCAGAGCACCTGCCTAGCAATCACAAAGCTCCGAGTTCAAACTCCAGTACAGCCAAATTTAAAAAAAAAAAAAAAGAAAAGAAAAATCTAATTTAATAGATATACCATAATGGACATCCCTAAAAGTAATCAAGCCATCTATTCAACCATATCAAGTTAGATTTTCACTGTTGCTTTCACCTTGAGACACATTAACAGTAACAAATACTGCTCAAGGGAGAAACAACTCCATGGATGCTGCAAATGTGTGGAAGAAACTAATTTTGTAAATGAGAAATAACCTGATGTGTGCTATTCCCCTTAATAAATGAGATTCAAATTTCAACTATAGTAAACCTGATGCTCCCAACATACTGCCAAGATAAGAAACACTTGTAATCAAGACCTTCCTCATGTACACCCATCTTGTTAATTAAACACACAGTTTTCCAAAGCAGAAACTTGGCCTCCAACCTAGACTTTCCTGTCCCCATCCTTCCGTAATCCCCAACTGAAATGACCACCAAGTCTTATCCATTTTTTCCAAATGATCCCCCAGTCAATTCTCTTCATCCCCTCTGCCACTGCCTGGTCCAAGCCTTTTTTCTCACCTGCAGGAGTGATCCTAATATCACTGCCTCAAGTCACCCTTTCCACTATGACCCTTTACTCCCCACTGTTTTCCCTGTGATTTTCCAATAGCAAACCTAATGTTTCTTCTGCTCAAAACTTTTACTGCATCCCTGTTGCCTACAGAAAAAAGCCCAAGCCATTTGTAACAGCATATAACTTCCCATGACTGGAGTCCTGCCAGTCTCTCAAACCTCATATCCCACTGCAATCCCCTCACCCTACACTTAAAGCCCCATAAATAACAAGCTACATGTATGCTTGAATTTCCAACAAACATCATACTACTTAATGTTTCTATGTTTTTGCATAGGTTGTTGTTTCAGCCTAGAATGTCCTTCACTTCTTCCCCATAGGCTTCCTGGATAACTACTAAGACTCTTTATAACCCAGCTCAGATCCCCGGAAGCCATCCAACCTGCCCCACCCCATCCTTATTATTATTTCCCCTTCTGCTAGTTCTGTAGGTAACAATGGCATTTGTTGGGCATTTACCTAAGCCCCTGACACTGTTCCAAGTGTTTTTACATGTATTAATTATTTGATCTTCACATGAAGTAAAGTGGTAGCATTATTACTTTTGTGCACATAGAAACTGAATTGGAGAAGCTAAACAACCTCCCCAAGGATACCTAACTGGGGAGACAGAGCAAAAATCCCTACGTCATACATACTCATATTACTGCACCTATCAGAGTGAATTTATTTACATGAATGTCCTTATCCTGGACTGTAAGTTCCTTGAGGGTGGGGAGGATGGCATATTTTACTCTAATCCACAGTAACTGGTATAAAGTAGGTAATGCATTTCTGGAATTGATTTTAAAATAACATTCCTAACCATGTTTTTCAAGAGAAAAACATTCAGAAATTAGTTCCTAGGTAAATGTATGAATATACTATAAGAGTTCTAGAACAGAACAAGCTATTTATCTAATAAAAAGGATGTTAAAAAGAGAGATTATTTCAGACATGAGATTACAGTCCTTGTGGATAATGACCTTATTTTGCAGTAATACTGCTTAATCACTGCAATAAATCAAAACCCAAAGGACTATTGGCCTAAGATTAACTTTTTTCCTCTCACTAAATAGGAATTCTTACTGTTTATCATTTATGCAGTGAAAAGAAAGCCCCAAATTTACTTTGCTCAAGTGGAAAGAAGCAAATCACAGACCAGAACTACTAATTGCTTCCTTAAATCCAGCCAAAAAATGTATCCCATTAAGCAATTAAAAGAAAATACAGTTGCCTAAGTATTCAACAAAAGAATTTCTAAGGTTGTGTAGACTGGCATTCCATTATTCAAATAATGAAAAATTATTTATCTTAAGCAAGGAAAAACAAAACAAAAAAAAAATAGATTATCACCATCAGTCCTATAGAATGCAAACGTCCATATCAAAACTCTATTAAAGAATATACATATTAAAACATATGCATGTTTCTATTTCAGTAGCCATTCTTTATACCTCCTTAAAGTTATTCTAACACTAATGATAAATGACTTCAAGACCAACTTGAGCACTCAGTTGTGCTCTCAGTTACAGTCCTCTGAGTCATACTAAGAGTGCAATAATTAAAATCCACAGGGACAGTACCAGCAGCAACAGTACACACCATAGTGCTTGTCAGAGTAATATGCACCCCGTTCAGCCTATGCACTACAAAAAGGCAAATCTGTTATCACAAGATTCAAGAGTTTAGGCCAAAGGACAGCAAACTCTACTCCCATGCACAACTTACCACTTCCTTGTACACTCAACCATCAGCTCCTGGTAGGAAGCCACAAACTGGAACTTGGATGCATGCTTTCCCACACGCTGCAGTCTCTTCCAAACTGAAGCCATGGTGATGGGTCAATAGACTGAACAGTTCTGGATTAACACAGCAGCTTTAATAAAGCAGAGGGTCCAAAGGAAAGGAGCTTTGCATGTATGTCTGTACTTTTAAAAAACTGAATTACAACTTGAAATGATGCTTGAGGCCCATAAGTCTTCTCCCTGTTTCACAGGGCAAATCCCATCTTAGATGAATGGCCCAGTCAGGAACAGTAGGATATACATGACAGGACGGGTGAGAGGAGGTTCCCTCATGCAGACATCACCATTCCACCTCAGGGCTATATGACGTGTATTCTGGAGGACTGAAAGGCAAAACAAAGACAAAAGGAGAAAGAATATGAGGAGAAAAGCCTGAGAAGTGACAAACCACCCTTGTTAGATAAGGCTGCAACAGACAACCTCCAGTTCTCTGCATGTTTTTCAAACAATGAAACAAAATACCGACCTCAAAGGCCAGCAAACATCAAAGATGCAAGATACCGAGGAAGAGATGACAGTTCACAGTGAAGACATGGAGCAATATATCAGGTAATCAGCATGAACGACAATCCAGAGGCGTGAGCCTGGCCCTCCCCTCTCCTTCTAGCACCACAGAAGGGTGAACAGATCTGGAAAGTCTAGGGATGCTGTTTAATGTCCACTGCCAATCCGAGGGAAGAGTGAAGTGTTTTTTTAATAAACTTTGTTTTTCAGCCGATAATTAATAGCCTCGCCTCCTAGAATATGCGCTTAGAACAAACTAGGGAGCGGGGAGGAATGCTGTTGTTCGGTCGGAGGGGAAATGGATTGGGAACGGAGAGTGGAGGGAAATCTCCAAGCAAGGTCCCGGCTCCAGGCCACTTGGGTCCCCCCTGCACCTTTTCGGCCAAGAGGAGGGAAATGGAAACTCCTGCCAGGGCGTCAGGCAGTGACCAGCCGGGCAAGAGGACGGCTCGGGGTGCGGTGCCTCCCTCCCCCATCCTCAGGGAACAGCCTGCCAGAGCCGGGTGTCCTCACGCACCGAGCCCAGACCCCTGCCCCCCCAGCAGAGGCAGGCGGTGGCCCGCCGCGGTCCTGTCATCCAGACATTGCCAGGAGACCCCAGCCCGGTTCCCGAGCCCCGGCCCCGCCGCACGTCCACTTCCACCCCCACTCCTCACACCTCTAATCCCGCTGTCGGGTTGAGTCTGGCCCAGTTCCCTCCTCAGAGCCGCTCCTCCGTCGCCGCCACAGCAGCAGCCGCCGCCGCCGCCACCGAGTCCTCCATCCCCGCCGGAGCCACATGGAACAGCCAAGCCAGCCGCGGCGCTCGCGGGAGCCGGGGTCTGCAGCCCCTCAAGCGGACGGCGGCCCTCCGCCCGCCCCCTCCCTGACGGATCGCCCTGCGACCGTCCCCCACCCTACCAAACCCTGCCAGAGCCTCCGCTCAGCGCCCAGCACCCCCTCCCCCGCCTTCCTCCTCCGCCACCATCATCATTACCTCCCCCGCCGCACCTCTCACACTAACCCTACCCACAGCGGCTCAACCTCCGTCCGCCCCACCGCCATTGGCCAGGTCCCACGCGTGCCCCGCCCACCTCGGCAGCCGGGCCTTAGAGTTGCTCCTACGTCTTATTGGCTGATCAGTGTGCCCATCACAGAAGCTCCACCCCCTAGCTCCAGAGGTGGTTCCCCCCCCCCCCCAGCCTTAACGCGGCGCAAGGTCTACCCTTCTTTTAAAAAAATTGGAATTCACTAAGGACAATCCCGCCCATTACTCTGATTGGCTAAGAGAGGGAGGCAATAGGCGGGAGGAGTAAGGAGTGTTTATACTAAGCTGGAAGTTGATTGTAGAAGGTGGCTGTCCGTCAAAGGCGCCGCGGGTGCTGGGCGGGGCTTCTGGCTCCTGTAGGTGGTAGTGGAGCCTGAGGCTGAGAGTGAGGTTACTGTGGCTTCTCTCCTGTTCTCTCTTATCCCTGCTTAGGACCTGGGCGCGTCCTTTCCTTTTTGTAGCTGGCATTTATGCAAGCACAGCCCTTTTTCTTTTTTCACACAATTCTTCATGGGGCTTTTTCCCCAACAAATTCTAGTAATGACCCCACCAGGCCCGCTGCCCAAGATTTAGTCAACTGGTCCTCAAACTAAGCCAGACATAGAATGTTTGCAGTACAATTTCTTCTTGATTCAATTTCTTTGGATCTTGGTTTTTCCTGTTCGTTGTCGGTCTCTTTAGCCATGGTATGAACTATGGGTGGATTTGGGAGCGGCTGGCTATTAAAAAGAAAGTGGCTATGGCAAAGAGGATGAATAATAACCTAGACTGTGAGAACTGAGTACTGAGCCCTGTTGAAAGAGTCAAAGTCCTTTTTTTTTTTTTTTTTTCCAGAGACAGGATCTCGCTGTGTAGCCACCAGGCTGGCCTCTAACCAGGATCTTTAGCCTCCAAGTACTAGGATTACAGGCGTGAGCCACTGTACTGGGCTCCACCATCCCTTTGAAGGATATGAAAGCTATAGACCCTTTCCCCGGGGGGAGAAAATATTCTATCATAAACACAAAAACTTGCTTTCAATTTTAAATGATTCACAAACTTTCGGTGTACAGAGGAAGATCAAGAATAAAATACTGGGGGATTCCTAGCATTCAGGAACTAAGCAAAGTAAAGTGAGAAAGAAACTGAGAAGGAATGGTCAGAGAAGTATAAATTCCTAGCAAGCAATGGGTAAATAGTTTGGGAAATGAAAGGGAAGCTGACCTAGGAAAACAGGTTAAGATGGGTCCTGGAAACAACAGTCATTCTTAATCTTTCTAAAATTGGAGAGCAAGATGCATGGACAAAGTAAGTATAAGGGTCTAAAGGAGGATTCTCCGAAAGAAAGGAAAGTAGGATAGTGGCAAGTGGGAATTGAGAACTGTAGGGGGCAAGAGAAAAGGGGAGAGAGAGATTGAACATTCACAAGAAAGGGGAAGATAGTGAAAGGTTTGAATACACTCACCTAATTCTATTGCCACTTTCAATAAAGGAAGTAATCAAAAAACAAAACATGAGAATATAGTGTGCATTTTATATGAAAGGGCATAGTTAGCACTTATTTTGCTATTGTCAGCTATTAAAATAGCCATAATAATTATATTGATTCTTATTTTATATCCGTCTTAGAGTTCTCAGATGTCCTTCCTGAGTGGTTTACTAAGTCACTACAACCTACAGACATTATGATCTCATACGGTAATACATTCTGCTTCATTAATAGACATTATGGTGTGTGGGTTTTTTAATGGCTAATTTATAGAAATGGCCATAAACTGTGTTCATCTAAGTTGCCCTTCAGGAACAATCCTCATGATAATCAGAAGGTTTTTGGACTCTACTTAAGAGTGTTCTTCATAGATTCTCAAACTTTCTTATGTGGTTATCCTGGTTTCTTTTAATACTCAAGAAAGGGAGGGGCTTATTGTAAAGTTTTAAATAATGGGTATCTTTCTTTTAAAATTAAAAAAAAAAAAGAGTAGAATCCCTAGGGAATCTTTCTGAAGTTGTGGAAAATTTCAAAAGACTGATAGTTTCTTTTTAGGGGAAAATATTTTTAATGGAAAATATTTCCTTTTATTTCTAAGCATCAAGGTTCCTCTGAGGAGACCATGGTTAGAATTGTTTACTGGATGAGTGAAGAATTGAAGAGCAGACCTTGACTTTGTTCTACCGCTGAGCTCAAGTGCATAGGCTGTCTCCTGGAAGCCACAGGGAGCAGCTTCTCCCCACAAAGCTTTTAAAAATAACCTGCCTGCTAACTAAATCTATTGATGAACTTTAAATAAAGAATGATTAACTGGTAATTATTGAGCACCAAACGAGGGCTGATTGTGTTAAATACTATTAATAGCACATAAAAATTACAGTCCCTATTCTCAAAGAATTTTCAGAAACAGACGTCCAGCATGTATATAAGAAAGTAACACAAATTACTTCATCTCTCTGAATCTCAGTTTCCTATTCTATAAAACTGATAAATATGCCCACCTTTGTAGAATGTTGAGAAGATGGAAGATATGAATGTAAAGAGCCTGATACATAACAGTCAGCTAAATGCTAATTAATAATGTATGCTATTGTTTTGGTAGCAAATTTGAACAGGTAAGAAAAAAATAAAATACCAGACCTTCAGTAAGTATTGGGCAATACTTAGTGGATACCAAACATCACTGCCTAAAGGACTAACAACTCTCAAACAGTGAATACCAAGAGTAGAACACTACCAAAAATTTGGGTGAACTCAGGATTTTATGAGAATTCTTAGAATTCACTTGGCATCAATCCTCGTGACCACTTTTTGTGCCATATATTAGCTGGGATCTTTCAACATGCTAGAAGCTACTTTTTCCTGAAGGCTTTATTTCTCCTACCTATCAGCATGTATATCCTGCTGACCCTCCCCCGTTCCAGGATTGCTCACCACTTTCCTGCTGCCCCTCCTCTAGTCCCCTGCTTACTCTGTTCTTGGTTTACCATCTTCTTCTGTCCCAAGCTTAGTGTGCTTGTAATAGATCTATGGATGCAAATTCCTTTACTTGTCCTATTTTACCCTAGTTGCTGCCTGCAAAACTTTATAGATGTTTTACTTAACAGAAGAGTCAACATTTAAAATAATTTCAATTTTGACTTTGTCATCAAGCTTAAAATGAAGATAGAATATGAAGAAATAAGTGGAAATGTCACCCACAGATCTTTACTCTTCCCTGCTATGGTAGATAGGAAGCAGCTTTTTTCTAGTCACTATTTCAGAAACCCCCCAAATGGAGAGTCTCATCTATGAAATGTAGCATAGGCTTGAATTATTATTATCTTTCCTGATGATAAAATTCTTATCTTTGGGTTTTGCAGTTTTGTAGTAAAAATTGTCAGAGGTATTATTGCACAATTTAACTACTAATGGAATTTGTGTCTTAGTCCTTGTAATAAAATTTATTCCTAATAATAACATTGCAAATTTTGCATTGTTTTTTTCCAGTTACCATAGCAGTTATACTATCCACAACAATATTACTGGGATTTATAACTTGCTAATGAAACTGTATTAAAGCCATAGCCAAAAAATTTACTCCCAACAATCCAACAGCAATTTTTGTGACCTTAGAAACTCTGTGGCAGGCTAATACTTTTGAAGTATTTTGAAGGGTTTTTGTAGTAGTTTTTCTAGATCTTTCCTCTTAGCCTATGGCTTTTGTTCTACATCCCATCCCAGGATGCCCTTAGCATCACACCCACCCTCATGGTGACTGGTCTTTGCTTGTTGTTTCAGGAAAGAATTTAACAGAAGGTAGAAAAACAGGAATTTTTTCTTGGCTTTGGAATTTAAAAAGCCTATTCTTTGGGGAATAATGAAATGGAATCTAGTTAGTGATTTGTACTTCTCCATAAGATAACCTCTAGCCATACAAGTGTCTGTTGAACACTTGAAATATGGCTAGTGAAATTGAGATGTGTTGTAAGTATAAAATACACAAATTTTAAAAACTTACTACAGGGGCTGGTGGAGTGCCTCAGTGGTAGAGTGCCTGTCTAGCAAGCATGAGGCCCTGACTTCAAACTCCAGTACCACAAAAAAAAAACAAATTACTACATAAAAAATTCAATATGTTAGTAATAATTTTATATTGATTACATGTTGAAATTACAATATTTTGGATATGCTGTGTTGCATAAAACATTAAAATTAACTTCACCTTTTTGCTTTTTAATGTGGTTACTAAAAAAAGGTAAATTTCATGAGGCTTGCCTGTACCCTATTGCTATTGGACAGTCCTAGTGTATACATAGTAAAACTTCCTTTCACAGAGATGAGAAACAGATTTCCTAGGCTAGAAGGGGAAGAAGAAAGTTGAAAGGAGTGTAATGAAAGCCTGGATGCTAGTGGATCCCTCAGAATAGGACCTGTTCTCATCCTCCAGCGCAAGCTTTGGAGAAAGGAACCTGCAATGGCAGTATTTGAAAGAGACATTTTCCTTGATAGAGCCCTGAGGATGTGGCAAGCTCCTTAAGGGAAGAAAAGGCTGGGTCAAGCTAAGCTTTGTATGTTGGCCAGCCCAAGACTTTAGACTTTCTGGTATGAGTACCAACTGGCCACTTGGGACTACTGGGCATCTGAAATGTGGCTCATGTAACTTAAATGTAAATAGCCACATAGTAGCTACAATAATGGACACTGCAAACTTACAAGAACCACGAGGTTCTGGAAACTCAACACAGTTCTGTGACACCCAAAAAAGTGAAGAGGTATTGGAGAACCACCAGAGCTAAAAGAACCTTGCTGATATACCATGATGAACTCAGCAGCAATCAGCAATGCTTTCAAGGGATGATGCCTATTAAAAATCATAGGTTATAATAAAATTTTAAAATAAAGGGAAAAAATCACAGAGGAACCAGGATCAAATGCTTCATTTCTTTCCCAGGCATATGGTTACCATATAAGCCCCCTCAATTGAGATACAGTCCCTGCCAAAACGACTGTGATTAAGTGTTCACCACTTCATATGAAATCAGAACTTGAAATAGAAATTGGTTGAAG